GACAACGCAGGCACCCCTAATGGCTGTCGCTGTGGTGGCTTCGCAAACAAGTACCGGTCGATGCGATGTAATCTGGTCGCTCTGAATTCAGATGCTCGTGCAGTTTCGCTTTTACTGCCTGGGCGAAAGTCGCGGAAGCCGCGGAAGCGAAACCTCAGCTGCACAGTGCGCCAGAAGCCGCTGGAGGCGGCCAAAACTCTTGACGCATTTTGAGCTCCAGAGTCGCTAAATGGGACTTGAACGGAACGTGTGACCCCACCAATAGATTCCTCGTTCGGAGAGCAGTCCATTGGTGGGGTCACACGTTCGGTTCGAGTCCCATTTGGCGACTCTGGAGCTCAAAACGCGTCTAGAGTTTTGGCCGCCTCCACCGGCTTCTAGCCCACTGTGCGCTGGCTTACTTGGAGCGAAATGACACCTGCCTCTGTGTCGTCGCAAAGAGTAGTCGTGGAACGACGTGGATATTTTGGGACTCGACTCGCTCGACACGGTGTGGAGGGATGTCGCGGGCCAGGCTGCGCTCGGTCGTATACATTGTTGCACCTTTGCAGCGCCCTTCCACTTTCCAAAGTGACGGCCCTACGGTCGCCAGTGTGGTCGCAGTCCTCGCTCGCAGCATGCACCGCCTGCACCGCTCACACTGAATCCCCTGGCAAAAAGGCGCATATTAAATTTAATAAATAATTAATTTGTAATTAATTAATTTTTTATTAGAGTTGACTTTAATTAAATTTTGTTAAATGCTAATTAAATCTTGTTAGTGGCCAAGAATGGAGCTATCTATGAACACGAATAGACTAATTAATAGGTCAGGCTGAAATGAAATTTAATTATTTTTAATATGTAAATAATAAGTTTTAATTATATTTAATTAAATTTATAAGCGCTAATTAGACCTTTATTAAGCTGTAGTTTAATTAAAACACATGATTTAATTAAATCCCTACCCACGTTAATGAAAATGTTGCAAACCAGTAAGAGAATCAGTGTTGAGATCTGATATTAGAGTGTGAGACGGCATTCTCCATGGCCGCCCAATTCTCCAACACTTGTGTGTCAGAGGCAAGTCTAAAAATCTCATCACACTTCCTTGAGCGCGATGGAGGAAAGTGAATAGCCTGCGCGACTAGTGCATGTGGCGATGTGAGTCAACACCGCGAGCTAAGGGACCAAAGTAGACCTCAGCGCCATCTAGCGGCGGACAGACTTTTATTAAACTTAATTAAATCTTGCAGGGGATAACACCATAAAGTTCCTTAACATATGGCAACACCTACTTACTCGAGAGAGGATTTAACGACGAATATGACTCGACACTCTTGTTTGTCACCGGACTTTTCAAAGAAACCTTTAAATCACACTTAACATTTACTACCTAAAGTCTTTATTAAAAATGATAATAAAAGCTAATAAATGTTTATTAAACCCTCTTTGTTAACAAGTTTTAATCAACATTTAAAACCTTTTATAAACGGTACTTGTTAAAATTAATTAAAGTCAATAAGCACCCGTGATAAAATTAATTAAAACACAGCCCCTAATAAAAAATTAATTAAGAATTTATTAAAATTTATTAAATGTTAATAAAAGTTTTTTACGAGGGTCCAGTAATCTGCGAGGGGGCCACCACCCCCGTAATCCTGTGTACAAATTGGCTGGTAATCTCTGGTAATCCATGGCGTAATCACGTAATCCTTGACAAAATTCTGTCATTTTTAACCGTTTTTTGTCATTTTTCAACGTTTTTGAGCTATTTTTCAACGTTTTTGAGCTATTTTTCAACGTTTTCGAGCCAATTTTCGAAAATTTCACGCGTAATCCCCAGTAAATTTCTCTTAATCCCGTAATCTTGTGTACGCCTGAAATGAGAGTGGTGGCCCCCTCGGTAATCTGGCGCCACGTTCTGTCCACTGTGAGCGAAGCCCGATGCACGTTAAAACTAACTTGACCTAGGGTCAGTGCGGGGGAAAAACTGGACAGGGGAAGAACTGAACGAACACCCCATATTTTACTTTAAATGTCGTATGCACAGGCTTAATTAGCAACTATTATGTAATGAACCGCTGATGCCACGGAACAACTTTTGATGGTTGTTATGCCTGTGCATACGGTAAAATATGGGGTGTTGTTCAGTTCTTCCCATGTCCAGTTCTTTCCTCCCGCACTGACCCTAGTAACCCAAACCGAGGGGTGACCCACTGTAAAATTTTGTGTACAATGATTGTGCAAATGTGCAAGAATGTGCAAGATTTCTGGCGTTTTTGCCACACATGTTGTCTACTTACAGGCGTTTTTGCCACCTGAATGTGGAATGTGGTCAAATTTTGTACAATGAATGTGGGAAGCCGTTTGCCCCTCGACCCAAATGAACTCGACAATTCACGTTTTCGCGCACGTGGCTGCATTTCCAGTGAAGCTTCGGACAGCGTTGCGCAACTTGTGCCGCGAAAGGTGTTTCCGCCGCGGTCGCCAGCAGAAGACCGACAAGCCCCACCATTTACTCTGGATGCAGCGGCTGCCACACTGTTTGCCAGGGTATGCCCTGTAAACACTTCTGCTAAAGTAAACCCTCCGTTCGATCCACGTTAGCACTTGAAAGGACGCTGGCCGAGTCGGCCAGGGGAGGTCCTTTCTGGTGTCGCCGCTTCGTCACCATTTTATCATCCCGAAGCGCGCGCTCAGCGCCACGTCAGCCCCAGGACGGCACCGCGAACCCTATCGGTAACAGGGTCGGTCGTCAGCGTCATTCCAATTTCTCATATCTGCGTACACGCCGAGAGCCACGTCATCTCCAGGATGGCGAGCCTTCGGTCCGATTCTGATGGTGTTTACCCCCACCCTCTGTGACCGAAAGCAACCCCTGCTCTGACCCCACCCCCTTGCGAGCCAGCCCTGCCACCACTACCCCTGCACAACGCCTACCTCCCCCTCCTGGGGGTGCGTCTGGTGGTGCAGCTCGGCCTTGCTGGCGGCGGAGCGGCGCGGCGGAGAGGCGAGGCGCGGTCTCGCGGGAGGGGAGGGGGAGGGGGCCGCGGCGGCGGCGCTGGGCTGCGTCGGGCCTGCCTCGCTCGGTCTCGGTCTCAGTCTGCTTCCCTCCAGCCGCCGGGATGGTCGTCGCCGACGTCGGCCACCCGGGGGGGCTCTCCCAGGGGCCCACCGTGGGGCCCTGGTTGGGGCTGTGCAGGTAAGGCCTCGCTTGCCGCTCAGCTGTCCCTCGGCCCGCCCCGCCCCGCCCTGGCGCACGGCCTTCGTCGTCCTCGTCCTCCACGGCCTCGGCCCTTCAGCCCTCGCAGCCCTCGCCGCGCGCAGCCTGTTGCCTGTTGGTGCATTCCACCCCCTCGCGCGTGGCCGTGGCCGAGGCCCTGGCGCTGCCCCGGCCGGGGCCCCGGGCCCCTCGGGGTGCGTGCAGCCCGCGCAGCCCGCTCGGCACCTCGGCACCGCGTGCAGGCGGCGCCCCCTGCAGGTGCAAGGGTGCAGGGGGCGGCGGGAGGCAGCGCGCACCAGCGGCGCACAGCTGGTGCCTACGCTGTGCAAGTGTTCGCGCCCTCCCCCACTCCGCTCTTTATTTTTACCCCGCGGGTGCTTTTTTACTTGTTTTCGGCCGCTCACTCATTGAGGTTTGCACTGCCTGGCGTGGCTGGCGGAGCCGCGACGGACGCTCCGCCTGGCTCCGCTTGGCTCCGCTGGCTGTGCTTTGGAAGCGCGTCAAGCCGCGTCAGGCCGAGCGGCGGGGGCCTCTTCGGGGGCCTCTTCGGGGGGTGGGGAGGTTAGTGGGGATCCAGCCAGCCGCGGTGCTGTCGTCCGGGCCGATATGTCGTCCCTGTCGCCTCGCGCCTCAACGGCAAACATAGAAATGAAGGACGCGCAACAACGACAAGACTTTTATCGAGCCTTCGAACGGCGTTCGCGGGTTCCTCGTGCGTCCGCCAGTCCATCCCCTTGCCCTGGATGCCCTGGGTCCGGCACCTCCTGCGCCCACCCCTCGCTCTCTCTTGTACAGTACCCTCTATCAACGTGTGTGTGTGTGTGTGTGTGTGTGTCTCTGTGTGTGCACGCTGGCACGGCCTTGCCCTCCGCGCTGCCGCGTTGCGTCACGTATCCTAGGAGAGTGCCGAACTTGAAACCGCCCCGAGAACCATCATTATTTTGCCATTCCCGAGATCTCTTCAAACGCGGCCCCTCGTGGAGAAGAGCCCTGCTGCTGGAGACGGCCGCGGGGGATGGTCCGTAGGGGAGGAGGGGGAGGGGAGGGGGCCACTCGAACAGAGGAGGAGGCTGGGGCCTCACAGTGGGCCAGAAGACCGGCGGAGGCGGCCAGAAGTCTAGACGCGTTTTGAGCTCCGGAGTCGCTAAATGGGACTCGAACCGAACGTGTGACCCCACCAATGGATTCCTCGTTCGGAGAGCAATCCATTGGTGGGGTCACACGTTCGGTTCGAGTCCCATCTAGCGACTCTGGAGCTCAAAACGCGTCTGGAGGTTTGGCCGCCTCCACCGGTCTTCTGGCCCACTGTGGGCCTTTGCAGAGGAGGCCGTGACCCGCGCGCTCTGCGCCCTGCGGCGCCAGGGAGGCCAGGATTCGCACAACGGCCTTGTGATTTCTGAGGAGAGGCCGCGTGGCCGCACAGCAACCCATGGCCGCCCATGGCCCCATGGCATGGCGGGCCGCACCGCCACACGGCGCGCGGCCTCGTACGGGTGTGTTTACAAATAGCCCAACGACGTGCAGGGACATGCGGAGGTGGCGCCGCCTCGCGCCGCCAGGGCTGTTCGGGACAGCGTGGAATGCGGTGAAAATGCCTGCGGAGAGATAACTCTGTGTTGGTGTGTGTGTGTGTGTGTGTGTGTATGTATGTGTGTCAGCGCCATGTGTACCCCGTCATGAAGGCTCCGCCCCCCAGTATAGCCCCCCCCCCCTTCTCCTCCCTGCTAGTTTTGAGTTCGATCGCCGCTATCCTGTCGTTGCAAGTGTGCCTGCTAACGCTGTTGGTTGCTTCCAGTGAGCCGCCTGCACTGCGAGAGCGAGTCCTTCAAGATGGACCTGATCCTGGACGTCAACACCTGGCTGTACACCATGGAACTGGGTGAGTTTCCACCGGGCCGTAATTTGCTCCCGGGGACCCGGAGGACGCGCTGGCGCGCTGGCGCCGCCGGCCTCCGCGCTCGCGGCGCGCCGAACCCTCGTGGTCCTTGCTTCGTCACGCCCGAGCACTCCTTGTCCTTGGCTACGCCACGGCTGCGCGGAGGGTTGTGTGTGTGTGTGTGTGTCGGTGTGTGTGTGTGTGTCGGTGTGTATGTGTCGGTGTCTGTGTGTTTTCAATCGCGCGCAGAGTTTTCTTTCTCGCCCTTTGTGTCGGAGGGGCCTTGCATGCTGCGCCGCGGTGCCATGGCGGTGTGCGCTGCGCCAGGCGCACAAGCACAGCACGGCGTCGTGGGGTCTGGGGGCGTCGCCGAGCGGCCCGGCCCGACCGGGGGTCCTTTGTTGTCGTTGCTCGTTTTCGCTGGGCGCGCTGGGCTCGGAGGAAGAGCGCGGGGAGAGTTCGGAGAGTTCGGCCGTCCGCCGCCTTGATCTGCACTCAGGTTGATTCCGTCCGAGCGGTGCTGCACAGTGGGCCAGAAGACCGGCGGAGGCGGCCAAAACTCTGGACGCGTTTTGAGCTCCAGAGTCGCTAAGCAGGACTCGAATCGAACGTGTGACCCCATCAATGGATTGCTCTCCGAACGAGGAATCCATTGGTGGGGTCACACGCTCGATTCGAGTCCTGTTAAGCGACTCTGGAGCTTAAAACGCGTCTAGAGTTTTGGCCGCTCCTCTGGTTCTCTGGCCCACTGTGTGCTGCCCTCGCTCCGTCGCTGTCGAGCAGCAGTCTCGGAGCGTCCGGTGGGGGTGCGAAGGAGACGGAGCGACGAGGCTCGACGCTTTGCTCGTCGTCAATACGAGTGGCGGCAGGTTTTCCAGGGCCTCCCTCCCACGCCCGGGTTTTGCTGTTTACGTAACGGGGCCCGCGGCACTAGTCAGCACTAGTCCACCGCGGGCTGCAGGCTGCAGCATTTCGTTCCACTTGTTTTCAGTGACACTGTGGGCGGCGAGGGGGTAACCACTCGCGTAATACCCTGTACACAAAAACCGTGTATTACGCGTAATACACGTGGTCGCAATACCTTTTTCGGGTCAAATGTGCCCAATTTTTGCATTTTAAGGCCGTAATACACGTGTAATACCTCCGTAATACAGCGTAATACCGAGTAGTCTGTACACGATTTCTTGAAGTGTTTACCCCCTCGGTGGGCGGCATGTCTGGCCGCAGCCCGTGTCACCCTCGCCCTCACTCTGCAGTCCGTCGTCGCTCTGTCTCTCTCGCGCCCCCTCGGCCTTGCGGCCCGCCCCGTGAGTGCGAGAGAGACAGCAACGCGCCGCTCAGCAGCAGCCTGCTGCTCGCCCTGCAGACTGATTCCGAATGGGTCGGTTTCGTCGCTCTGTCTCTCTCGCACTCATGGGTCGTCCCGTATGAGTGCGAGAGAGACAGAGCGACGAAAACGACTCTCGGAATCAGTCTGCTGGTCTGCCCTGGTCGGTCCCGCCGATCGCCGCCATGAACCTGATCGATATATCGAAAGGCCGTCCGAAGGCCGTCCGTCCGCGCGCCGCCCCGCTGGACTGTCGTGCCGCCCTCGACGTGCCCGTCGAGCGCCCCTTGACCCGGCCCGGCCCTTGGCTCGGCCCTCCGCGTCCGCGCCGCCCTTGAAGGGCGAGGAAGACAGAGTGTTTGAACCGCGGACCGCTGTGCTGCACGAGTAAACAATGGAGCCTCTGGGCGATCGGAGGGCGAGAAGGCGAGCGGCGTACCGACGACGTGGGCGCGTGGGCGCGCTGCGTGACGTCATGGAGTAGCCGTATCGACCCGACTACCCCTGCCTGGCCTGCCTGGCCTGCCCGCTGTCTCGTCACCCCCCGCCCCGCCCGGCCGCCCCGAGTGCCCGGGTCGTTTGTCAGCCTGCTTGTATTTCGGCTCCGAATGACATAATCGGGCGCTTCTCGGCTCTTCGGCGGCGCGGCCTTTCGGCTTTTCGAATTTGGCGCGCTGGCCGAGCTTCCGGCCTTCCGGGGCGGCGTCGGCTAGGTCGGCGTCGCGTCGCGTCGCCAGCTGACGCGCTCCTCGGCGCCATGCGGCCATGCGCCATGCGGCCGTGGCGTGCGCCGGGCCTGTCGTTTGGCGTTCGCGAGCACGCTGTGCGGTTTGTGTACACACTGGCGGGCCAGGCCTCTGGCAAAGGCAGTTTGGCGGGGCAGGGGCGGGGCAGGGGCAAGGGGGGACTGAACCAAGTGAAGGAGTAGGAGGTCCGCGGGCCGCGGAGGCGGGGCCAGGCGGGGCGGGGGCCCAATGTCACTGCCAAGGTCATGCTCGCCGTGCCACGACGCAAGGTTAGGCTTAGCGGGTGGAGGGGGCAGCGCGGCGGTGCGGGCAGCAGAGTAGCGAGCGCGCCCCTCCCACCTCCCGGCCGCCTCCCTCCCCCGCCCCCTCTCCTCCCGCCCCGCGCGCCCCGCGCCTTACCGCAGCGACACTGCAGGCGCCGTAATCTGTAAATAAGGTTTTTACTTTTTCGCGCACGCGTCACGTCGCCGCTTTTCGGTCGAGGCACTGCCGTCCTCGGATGTCCTTCGGCGGCGACCCTCCGACCCGGTGCAGGTGACGGGGCTCGGCGGCTCCGGTCTGTCTATCGATTCCCCGACTGCACCTTGCCTGCAGCGCGCCCCTGCCGCAGCAGCCCCGCAGCCGCCCCCAAGTCTGTGCGCATCGCCGCGGCCCCGGAGGGGGGGGGGGGCTGGCTGGCACGGGGCACTGCGGGGCCATGGCGGGGCCCAGCCAGCCCGGCCCGGCGGCTGTCACGCCAACGTCACTTGCACCGTCTGCCTTGTTGTCGTTGTTGTCGCTGGCTTGCCGTGTTGTTGTTGTTGTTGTTGTTGTCTCTAGTGCCCCAGGCTTGCCGTGTGGTGTTGTTGTTGTCTCTAGTGCCCCAGGCTTGCGATCGCGGCGGCGGGCGCCTTATCATAATGGTTCGCTAGGGTGACCCACTTAATTGCCGCCGGTCCGTTTGTCGGTGTGTGTGTGTGCGTGTGTCCGTGCGTGCGAGCGAGTGTGGCTGCGCTGCGAGTGTGGGCGCTCCTTCTCCTTGTGTGTGCACTCGCGACGGCCTTGGGTGCAATTCGCCGCGAATCGCCATTTTCGGAGCGCTCGTCACAGCGCTCGGCACGGCCTGCTCTCGGCCTGCGCCCGCCGAGCGATTCGGCGCGTCTCTCTCTCTCTCTCTCTCTCTCTCTCTCTCTCTCTCTCTCTCTCTCTCTCTCTCTCTCTCTCTCTCTCTCTCTCTCTCTCTCTCTCTCTCTCTCTCTCTCTCTCGCACCCCCTGTGGCCTGCGGGACGCCCTCCGAGTGCGAGTGAGACAGAGAGGCTCTTCGGAGTGAGTCTGCAGGCAGGCCGTAATTTCACTGAGAATGAATTGGTCACCACCATCACCCTTTAAATGGGTGATGCAACTTCGCTGCCCAAATTTTGGTGACGAAAAATTCATCACCCGAAATTTGGTAACAGGCGTTTGGTCGCCCAAATTTGGGTAACGTCGTCGGCGACGCCGTGAGGTTCCCGATGGCGTCCTTCCGGGGCCACCACGATGACCGGAGGCCTCAACGCCACATTGGGTCATCGTGGTGGCCCCGGAAGAGCGTCATCGGGGACTTCACGGCGTCGCCGACGGCGTTGCCCAAATTTGGGCGACGATTTTATGACTGCCCAAAATTTGGTCACCGCGGGCTCGTCACCCAAATTTGGGCAACGGTGCGTGCGTTACCCAATAAAAGGGCGATGGTGGTGACTCTTTCATTCTCAGTGTTGGCGTGGCGGTGTCGAGAGCGCGCGGCCTGGCGGTGCACAGTGGGCCAGAAGACCGGTGGAGGCGGTCAAAACTCTGGTCTCGTTTTGAGCTCCACAGTGGCTAAACAGGACTCGAACCGAGCGTGTGACCCCCACCAATGGATTTCTTGTTCGGAGAGCAATCCATTGGTGGGGTCACACGTTCGGTTCGAGTTCCATTTAGCGACTCTGGAGCTCAAGACGCTTCTAGAGTGTCCGCCTCCGCCGGTATTCTGGCCCACTGTGCGGTGCCGGACCTGCTGCCGCCGCTGCCTCGGCGTTCGCTCCCAAATAAACGAGACGGCCGGCCGCCCAAATGGCGGTGAAGTTTGCTCTTCGGAAACGGAGGAAAAGTTGCTCTCGGTTGCACTCGTCTCGTCATCGTTAGCATTGGCGCGGCCCCGCCGGCGGGCGGGTCGTGATTCTGCCGTCGGCGTCTCGCTCGCACCGAGTGCAGAGCTGTGCAGAGCTGTGCAGAGCTGTGCGGGGCGGGGCATCATTAATTTTTTCGCTCCTTTATTCCTCTCTGGGCTGGCTGGCTGGGTGCATTCGGCCGAACGGCTGTCGAGTGGCTTCGTTGTCCGCGTTGGCCGTCGTGCCGGTTCGATGGCCGCCGCGCTGCCGCATCCCCGCGCTGGAGCTGGAGCGCAATCCTGGAACCCAGAATGCAGCGCTCTATGCTTTTTTAAGGGGACCCTGCGGGAACACGTCCAGGAATAGCGGCCGATGTCAGTTCCCCTCTATCTCTCCACTCTGCCACTTGATGAGAAAATGAAAGTACTGTATAACCGAACTATCTCCGCGTTCATTTTATTCGGCGTGCACCTCTTTTAATGCCGTGGTCGCGTTTCGGCTCTTCGACACGTTGTTCGATCGGTTATCTAGCCGTGGTGTTGCCAGGCCGGGTTCGAACCGCGCCACCGGCTCTGTTCGTTCCCCCTCCCTCCGTCCTGCAGGGAGCGGCCGCCCTTAGCCGCCGCAGGGCTGCGCTGGGCTGCGCGTGGCGCAGAGCCCCTGTCATGGCCGGGGTAGGCCGCCACCCGAGCCGCCCCTGTTCGGCGGGCCGGCCCACCCCGTCTCTCGCAGGCTGGCCGGCTCCAGGAGACCAGGAGGCCGCCGGAACCGGACCGAACCGCACAGCGCACAGCGGTTCTGGTGTTGTTCCTGCCTTTGAT